AATTAAAAGCTTTCCCTTAAGAACAGGAACAAGACTAGGATGGCACTACTGTTTAACATAGTATTGGAAGTATTAGACAGAGTAATTAGGTGGGAGAAAGAAATAAAAGGCACCCAGATCAGAAAAAGACAAAGTCAAATCGTCAGTGTTTGCAGATGATATGGTCCTATATGTAGAAAAACCTAGAGACTATCCAAAAAACTCTTAGAGTTGATAAACTATTTCAGCAAAGTTGCAGGATACAAAATCAACACACAAAAAAATTAGTAGCATTTTTATACTCTAACAATGAACTAACAAAAAAAGAAATCAAGAAATCTAGCCCATTTGCAATAGTGACCAAAAAACAATAAGTAGGAATACATTTAGCCAAGGAAGTAAAAGATCTGCACAATGAGAACTACAAATCACTGTTGAAAGAAATTAAAGAAGACACAAAAAGTTTGAAAGACATTCCATGCTCTTGGATTAGAATAATTAATATTATGAAAATATCCATACTACCCAAAGCAATCTACAGATTCAATGCAATCCCATCAAAATACCAATGACATTCTTCACAGAAATAGAAAAACAACCTAACACTCATGTGGAATAGCAAAAGACCCTGAATAGTCATAGCAACCCTGAGCAATAAAGTAAAATAAAATAAAGACAGAGGCATAACACTATCTGTCTTTGAAATATACTACAAAATTATAGTAACCAAAATAGCATGGAAGTAGTATAAAAACAGGCACTCGGACCAATGGAATAGAATAGAGAACCCAGAAATCAACCCACATACTTACAACCAATTGATCTTCAAAAAAGGCACCAAGAACATACTTTTGGGAAAAGACTGCTTCAATAAATGGTGTTGGGAAAACTGGACATCCATATGTAGAAGAATGAAACTAGATCTGTACCTCTTGCCATACACCAAAATCAACTCAAAATAGAGTAAAGACTTAAATATAAGACCTGAAACTATAAAACTCCTAAAAGAAAACATAGGGGAAACACTTCAGGAAGTAGGCCTGGGCAAACACTTTATGAATAAGACCCCCAAAGCACAGGCAACAAATGAAAAAATAAACAAATGGGATTATATCAAACTAAAAAGCTTCTGCACATCAAAAGAAACAATGAACAGAGTAAGAAAATCTACAGAGTGGAAGAAAATATTTGCAAATTATGCCTCTAACACAGGATTAATATCCAGAAAATGCAAAGAAGTCAAACAAATTCAAAGTAAAATATCAAATAACCCAATTAAAAACAGGGAAAGGAGCTGAATAGGCAATTCTCAAAAGAAGATATACACATGGCCAACAGGTACATGAAAAATGCTCAACAGCACTCAGCATCAGGGAAATGTAAATCAAAACCACATTGAGATGTCATCTCACACCAGCTATGCTGGCTAGTATCAAAAAGACAGAGACTAGCAAATGCTGGTGAGGATGTGGAGAAAGGGGAACCCTCCTACACTCTTGCTGGGACTATAAATTGGTGCAGCCATTATGGAAAATGGTATGGAGTTTCCTCAAACAATTACAGATAGAACTACCGTATGATCTAGCAATTCCACTGCTGGGTATATAATCAAAGAAGAGGAAGTGATCATGTTGAAAGGACACCTGCACTCCCGTGTTTATCACAACTCTGTTTACAACAGCCAAGAATTGGAACCAACATAAATGTCTATCATTGGATCACTGGGTAAGGAAAATGTGGTATATATACACAATGGAATATTACTCTGCCATAAAAAACAAAACAATGAAATCTTGCCATTCACAGCAATGTGGATGAATTTCTAGAAAATTATGTTAAATGAAATAAGTCGGGCACAGGAAGAGAAATACCTCATGGCCTCACTCATAAGTAGGAGCTAAAAAATAAACAAATACATTAAAATGAAAAGAAAGACACAGCAATCACAATTCTTTCAAAGGAAAGAACAGAACTGAGATCACCAGAAGTGGGATACGGGGAGTGGGAGGAGGGTAAGGGAAGAAATGGTAAAGGGCCACAAAAAATGATCACATTGTATAATGTTGAATCTACTACTTATCCTGATTTGAGCATCACATATAGAACAACTCTGTACCCCATAGATATGTACAATCAAGTATGTTTCAATAAGAAAAAAACAACAACAGCAACAACAAAAAACCCAAATAGGAAGACCAGGGTTTAACTAAGGCAGCTACAGCATGACTGGTGAGAGAGATGAACATGTTAAAGAGATGCCAGGGAAATAGAATCTGTGAGATCTGGTGACAATTAGACATGCGGGAGTTAGGAAAAGTGTGGTGATGTTCACATACCTGGGTTCCTGGCTATAAAGGTTCAGTATGGAACACACAGTGTAAAGGGACAGTAATGAGCTCCATACTGGACATGTTATTTCAAATGACCGGACATCCGAGTCTGGATACTTAATGCATTTGTACATCCAGGACTGAAGGTCTTGAAAGATAACTAAGCTACAGGAATATTTTTGGGAACAGGCTGGAAGAAACAAACCAGTCAAAGGGTAACATAGCCCAGTGATGGTACATGTGAAGACTGGAGGAGATTCTCAGAGACAAAGCCCTGGGAATGACCAACATTTAGATCTTCAAGTGGAGCTCACAGAGAGGAGAGGAAGAGCATGAAGAAATCACTGAAGGAGAGAGTTTTCTCAAGAGAGAGGGCCAAGTTCATCACATATCACAGAGAGATGAGGTAATAAAATAAAAGCCATCACTGAATAGAAAGCTATGGACGGCAGTGGCCATCGTCTCAGGTGCAGGTCCAGGGGATTGTTAGGGTCAGAAGCTGGACTCCAGTGTGCTGAGGAACAGGAGACTAGGAACTCCAGCGAAGCTTGGAAAAGAGGAGCTACTTTTTTTTTTTTTTTTGTCTTTTTCCGTGTCCAGCAACGGATCGCAACCCTCAGTGTTGCCCCTGTACCGGACCGGGGACCGGCAACGGGATTGCAACCCTCAGTGTTGCTCCCGCGCCTCGCTCAGCCAGTGAGCAGGAACCGGTCCGTATGTGGGATCTGAACCCTCGGGCGGGAGCGCCGCCGCGCTTCCCAAGCGGCGCACTATCCAGTGCGCCACCGGGCCGGCCCGACTTTTTTTTTTTTCCTAAAAGTATGGGTTTGAAAGGAAGGACAGAGAAAGTGAGAGGGTATATGCAGAGGTGAGGAAAGCTTTTGGTTCTTTTCAAGGACATGCTGGTCTCTTGTCCTGGGCCACCTGGGGCTCTCCCACCAGTGCTTTCTTCCCTTGCTGGCTCATTTTATAATCGATTGCTTTCCTTGCATGCCAGCTGCTGTGCCATGCACGCAAGATCTCATATTCATCAAGCGCTCAATCAGCCCTCCGTGGTTGTCTCATTTTACAGTCCAGGAAGCTCAGGCGGTGAGCCGAGGTTAATTGCCATGCACGAGTTCACAGCGTACATCAGTGGTGACAGCACAATTAGAACTTGTGACCAGCGATTTTTCATGTAATCGACTTGTTCACAACGCCGCCTGCCTTCTCTTGCCACATGTATCTCGATGCAATTGCGTGATAAGTAATGTGATAGGAAACTGGACAAGGTGGAATGGAAATTCAAGGATTGCAACCACCTCTTTATAATAACCCTGTGCTGAAATACGAAGAGCCAAATAATAATAAAAATCTCATCTTGGAATAGTAGAAATTTCTAATGACATCAGCCCATGCTGTCACAGCGAAAACTCTAAAAGTACACCAACAAGAGGGCCAGAAAATAAATTGAGCTAGACAGTATTTAGCAGGAACCGAGGCAGATGATCAGATAAGCAGGTGGAAGACGGACATCAATGGAACCAGACTGTGATTGAGGTGAGGGAAGGACAGAGGCCACTGCACAGCAGTGACAAATGGAAAACAGAATTAGAAATTGAAGAGACATTAAATTGAGTTTGTTCCAGCAAACATGTATTTTATTTTAAAAAATTAATTGTGACAGCCATAGTAGTGACAGATTTTCTCCTCACTATTCAGAGTCAGTACTTTCTTGTTACTGTTTTTTTCTTATTTTTTTTAATCAACCTCCCAAGGGAATACATGCATTTTTGCTCTTTACATAGAATACATAATACTAATCTTGTAAATACTAAAATTTCCTATCAACCAAAATGCCATAATGAGTTGAAAAGGCTCATAAATGATGTTAATGCTTTTGCACATGAATATATTTATTTTATTTTCTAAAAAGAGGTATTCATTACTGTGGCTTTTAGGAATTCAGAACAATAAGAAAAACAGGAAATAATCATATAGAACTGGCACAGCTAAATGAAATAGCCAACTTTTTGTTTTTGTGTTGTTTTGATTTCGCTTGGGGAGTTTTAATTATTTTTAAAACCACTTTTTTGAGGTCCGATTGGCACACCAAAAGCTGTGTATATTTCATGTATGCGAGGTGATGAGTTTAGAGATGAGAATGCATCCATGAAATCAGCAGCACAGTCTGCAACATAAACATCCCCATCGCCTACAGAAGTTTCCTCCCACTCTCTTTATTTATTTATAGTTTTCAGTGATAAGACCACTTAACAGGAGATCTACCCTCTCAGCAAAATTTTAAGTATACAACAAAGTCTCGTTAACTATAGGCAACATGCAATTCAGAATTGTGTGCTACAAGTGAAGTTTTTCAAAGATCCAAATAATTAACTTTCCAACAGTGAAATCTGCATAAGTGTCAGATTCATTCTCTTTAGAACTAATGAAATCTGTCTCCAAAAAGTTACTGCCAACAAGATTTGAAGAAAGCAGAAAGCAAAAGGCATCTGCTGTAGGAGAGTGTACTGAGGAGGGAGGGGCCAACAGAGTGGACAACTGACCGAATGTACTGAAGGTCTGCAGAATGGATGGGTAATTGCACCGAGGGTCTGCAGAGGGGATGGCTGAATGTACTGAGGGTCTGCAGAACAGATAGGTAAGTGCACTGAGGGTCTGCAGAGTGGACGGATGAATGCACTGAGGGTCTGCAGAACAGATGGGTAAGTGCACTGAGGGTCTGCAGAGTGCACAGCCGAATGCACTAAGGGTCTGCAGAAAAGACGGGTAAGTGCACTGAGGGTCTGCCAAGTGGACGGGTGAATGAACTGAGGGTCTGCAGAGTGGACAGGTGAATGCACTGAGCGTCTGCAGAATAGATGGGTAAGTGCACTGAGGGTCTGCAGAATGGACGGGTGAATGAACTGAGGGTCTGCAGAGTGGACAGCCAAATGGACTGAGGGTCTGCAGAACAGATGGGTAAGTGCACTGAGGGTCTGCAGAGTGGACAGCCAAATGGACTGAGGGTCTGCAGAACAGATGGGTAAGTGCACTGAGGGTCTGCAGAGTGGACAGCCAAATGGACTGAGGGTCTGCAGAACAGATGGGTAAGTGCACTGAGGGTCTGCAGAGTGGACAGCCAAATGGACTGAGGGTCTGCAGAACAGATGGGTAAGTGCACTGAGGGTCTGCAGAGTGGACAGCCAAATGGACTGAGGGTCTGCAGAACAGATGGGTAAGTGCACTGAGGGTCTGCAGAGTGGACAGCCAAATGGACTGAGGGTCTGCAGAACAGATGGGTAAGTGCACTGAGGGTCTGCAGAGTGGACAGCCAAATGGACTGAGGGTCTGCAGAACAGATGGGTAAGTGCACTGAGGGTCTGCAGAGTGGACAGCCAAATGGACTGAGGGTCTGCAGAACAGATGGGTAAGTGCACTGAGGGTCTGCAGAGTGGACAGCCAAATGGACTGAGGGTCTGCAGAACAGATGGGTAAGTGCACTGAGGGTCTGCAGAGTGGACAGCCAAATGGACTGAGGGTCTGCAGAACAGATGGGTAAGTGCACTGAGGGTCTGCAGAGTGGACAGCCAAATGGACTGAGGGTCTGCAGAACAGATGGGTAAGTGCACTGAGGGTCTGCAGAGTGGACAGCCAAATGGACTGAGGGTCTGCAGAACAGATGGGTAAGTGCACTGAGGGTCTGCAGAGTGGACAGCCAAATGGACTGAGGGTCTGCAGAACAGATGGGTAAGTGCACTGAGGGTCCGCAGATTGGATAGGTGAATGCACCGAGGAAACTGCAGAGTGCACAGCACAGTCTGAGCTCCTCCCACTTCTGCCCTCAGAGGCACAGCTAGGCTCACTGGAGCCTGGCTTCCCCCTCTCGGGGGAGAAGAGATTATAATTACAAACCCAGTCCCACTAATTATGGACTTTAGATGCCTGTTAAATGTTCCTTCACTGTTGGCCTCTAAATTTCTTCTGACTTGCAAAAAACCACATTGACTAAACCAACTCTGCAGTGCAGTGAGAGGTACTGAGAAGCCGATTAGAAAAATGCCTTATTCTTCACCTGCTAGGGAAACTACATCGAGCGTAAATCATGCAAGTATACCTATAAAAATGAGTATACACTTATAATTTTACCAATCTCTTTCTTTTGACAGTTTTACAAAGCTTCAGCCTACCGTTTTCATCCAGATAGGTCAACAGGATAGAGCTGGATTCTGTCCCTTCTACAGCATAATCTAATGGGATATTTCCATTAACATCTTGTAGAAGAACATTGGCTCCAGCCTGTATAAAAAAGAAAAAAAAATAAACATTATACATACTGTTAAGATAAAAAAAAAAGATTAAAAGTTTCACTAGTTGGGAAACAGATCCAGAAATAGTTCATGTTAGATACAGTCCTAAAGAATCATATAGGAAACTAGAACTATTTGTTAAGACAAATAAATACCTGTGGAGACTCTAAAGTTCTCAAAATATTCCACTGACCCTTGCAAGACCTTGGCTCCAGCTACTTCTCCTCACCCCTGCTGCTAACCCCAAAATATCCAATCAATGGCTGCTGAACTACACCTCTGTGGTGGCTGCCTGTGCATCCTGTCTTGTTTCTAATACAGTAGAAGTGTGTCATGTCTCCAGAGACCTAAACAGTGAACTCTTCTGTGAACAAGCTGACTTTTGATTGCTCTTCCTCAGTCTATCCTATAAAACTTTAGGCTCCTTGTTCCCCACAGAAACTCATCTAGGAGTTGTTCTCACACTACAGTCTATGCTACAGGGTCCTGGTTGTTTTTTTCTTTCCAGAAATTGTTTTCTAACAACAAGCATCATTTGTAAGCGTTAATGGGTTGGCTATATTAAATATGGCTGTTCCACATCTTTTAGCCTCGGGGCCCTTCATCAGCA